TTTTCAACTATTTAACATGCAGTTGAACTACTGCATGTACCTTAACTGTAGATATAGTCAATTATATCATTAACTTTAACAGAAAAAAAATATAATCCATACACGTATGTATGACACGTTCATATCGAAAAAAAAACTGTTTCATCCAACAGCATACAGAATCAATAATATATTTGGAAACACAGTAGTATTAATTCTTTTTTTCATTTTTTTAAAATTTACCTTCTGAAACAATTGAAAAAAAATAGAATCAAACATTTTTTTTTAAGAAACAAGGACTTTGTTCGAGTGCTGTATATGCTTACTGAACAATTACAAGGAGCAAGAGCGTTGTGTTGAACTTTTAATGAAATCATTTAAAAGAGGCATTCAAAACTCAATGTAATGTATTGTAAAGAAAACAATTTGTTTCTATTTTCTTTATATTATCGCAAAATATTATTGATTTCTCATTAATCAAAAATATAATTCTTTAACAAACAAATTTCTGTATTTGCTTCCTTGTCTTTTTTAACGAATGCAAACACACAGTTATGATTTTGAATGAAATGTAAAATTTATTTAAAAATGATCCATGATTATTAAAACAAAACACTAATATCGTTTTATGACCTAGCATAAATAGATATCATACTATCAGATTATTTCACTACATGTACGTTTCAAAAGAACTTTTGATTGGCTGACAAATATCGAAAGGCATCCCAATAGAATTTAAAATTCCAGACCATGCTGACAGCACAATTTCAAAACAATACATTGTTGTGACATATTTGTTTTCGTTTATTATTTTGTACATAAATTAGGCCGTTAATTTTCTCATTTAAATTGTTTTACATTTGTCATTAAAGGGGTCTTCTATAGCTGACTATGCGGTATGGGCTTTGCTCATTGTTGAAGGCCGTACGGCGACCTGTAGTTGTTAATTTATGATTTCTTTGGTCTTTTGTGATGGGTTGTCTCATTGAAAATCATACACACATCTTCTTATTTTTATATAGGAAAACAAAACACAAATGTGATTATTATTATTTCCCGTTTTAGCATAACAATGTAAATGTAGGTATTAAATACTTCTTTTTGTAGCTTTATAGGGTTATAAAAGCGTTACGTTATACAACATGTGATTTGGCAAACGCTTTTACACTCCAAAAAAAAAACTGCAAAAAGAAGCATCAAATTTTTATATATAGTTTATCTACACAGTTCATAACTGTGAAATCTAGCATGTTTTACCATCGTACGATAATGTCCTCACATGAAGGATATAATTCAAATATCAGGATTTCTAAACGCGACAGATAAAAAAAAATTATCCCAAGTCGTTCAGCGATGATTAAACTTGTACGTGTCTTCCCGATTTGTTTTCATATCGAACTTTATCTACCGATTGTTATTCAGAATCACCTGCTGTGTGCAGTGCGACCCGAATAAGACGTATTTATTCTTATGAGGTAAAAAAAAAATACTACCATACGCGAGTTTTTCTCTGTCACTTATACATCGTTAAATTTGAGAATACATTACTAAGCATATTTATTTAGTTATTTGTATACGTGGTCATTTTATAATGATTGGCCCACTACCTTGTTATGTATTATAAGGAATGATTGAACATTATTAATTTTATTACATGTTTTTTTTTAAATATACAGATGGGGCATGATTATAAGTCGACTTAGTAGTAGGAGTATAGATATCAACAAGTTGGGATATCCCCTTTATCGTCGGTCAGTATTATATAACCATTCAAATGAGGTCAGACACACTATTCGACAAATTAAACTTTTAGTTTTTTAATTCTATTAATACTTCCCCTTTGTGGTTTGATATGTTAATAACCGTAGACAATATCCAAGTACTTAAACCACTTGTATTAGCACTTACTAAAGTTACAGATGGTTTCCTTTCTTATAAGTACTGTCTTGTTGTTATGTTGACAGTTTATCTGTTATTTTATTTGAATATTTTTGTCATTTTCTAAAGTACTTTTGGACTAATATTGAATTAACAATCTTCTATCTATCTAACATATGTTTTTTTTGTTCTGTTGTGACAAGCGTTGTCAATGACATTTAATTGGTATCACAGATGAACACGTTTATGTTCGTCGATTGTGACTGAACCGAATACTGCTTATCACAGAATTTGTACTTTCATAAACAGCATGACAGATGCCACATGTGGAGCAGCAACTCAGTTTGTACAACCTATGGAGAAATGATACTTCTGTGTTGACATGAAATATCATTTATGTGTTCATATTGTCTAAATTTGCTGTTTATAATTAGAATAACCCGAACAATAAGCATTCCTATAAAAGGGCATAACTTGTTTACATCCACTTCATTTGAACTTTGGTGGATATTTGTCTCATTGACTATCATACCACATCTCTTTATTTTTATATTAGTTATATTTTGCACAAACTTTCGGATTTTTTTTTATTTAGCCTTCCAACTGTTCTGAATTGAGCGCCACTAATAAGTCTTATTTAGACCATACGATCTTCTGGCGTACCAAAATATGAGACGAGTATATTTGATGAGTTTTTACACCCTTTGATTTTTGGTTGGGTTCGTATTACTATATCTTTAGTTTTCTTTGTAATATTTTTTCTATTTTTGCTTGTCTTGTCGTCAGTTTTATTTGTGGTGATGTCTCTTTAATGTTGGTATAATAAATTTCGATTGTGTACTTTGTATCTTCTCTCTCTGAGATAACAATAAAATAGCCTTTAAAATCAATAACAAATTTGAAAATTTTCACAATTTTTGGATATTTATAAGTAAATAAAGTGAACAGAATTGAAGAGTTTTTTTTATAAAATGACTGCATTATTTCTGTCGAATTTCCCGATTGGTGTGCACCATTTTGTTTATAGTTGCTCAATGTCTATTATTGGGCTGATATTTCGTGTACTCGACATTTGCACTAATTATTTGATTAATACAATTGTTGATTGTCTATCTTTACATGACTGATAAAGCCAGGGTTTCCGCTGGAAAAATTGTGGCGATTAAAATTCATTATTGGCGAAAGAACTTAGTGAAAGAAATATAACGGTTCGACTTCGTCCATCTTGTTTACTTTTTTTCGGGTTTCTCGGACTTTGTCTGTGATCAGACAAAAATGGGAATTTACCTTGAACTCGTTACCATTTTGATAGAAAAACAATAATCAGCTGATTGTATTCTTTAGCTATCGTCAATAATGGACTAATTAATATACGTGTTGATTGTATTGTTTACTGAAATGGTGTGATGATTAAATGGCTTCACATGTCACCTTAAGGATTTGTTTTTACAACTTTGATAGAAATAATTGCTTTGAATTGGGTACTTCACAATTGTTTAAGCGACGCACGTGTTTGAAGCATAGTTTTACGTCTCAACTTTTTCTTTTACCTATTGATCGGTAAAGAAAACTGTTGTTACATGTTATGAAGAAAAATATTCAAAATTAAGAAAAATCTCTGACTTTAGTTTCCCTCAGTTTTAGTTTGTAACCCGGATTTGTTTTTATCTCTATTGATTTATGAGTTTCGAACAGCGGTATACTACTGTTGCCTTTATGTAGTTTTTATCCTTCAACTAATCGCGAAGTATCCAATAAATTTATAGAAGAATAATCCCGTGTTCCCCGAAGTCCAAAATTATGATTTCATGATCAATATTTCAATTTTACAGTATCTTTTAAAAAGTAAATGTTTGTTATAATTAAGTGTTTATTTATTAAAATGTACATCAAAAATAGATATATGATATACAGAATTATAGACAACAATGCAACAAATTGAAGTTAATGAAGGAACACTTGAAACGAAAAACATGTTTATTTTAGTTGGCGAAAAAAAATTAAAGGTGGCGAAAAATATTTTATTTTTTCGAAAGAGGTGGCGAAAAAAATAAATTGACCCAGAGGAAACCCTGAAAAATGCGAAGCATGATTTTTTTTTTTAATAACTCGATACAAAAAATAAACAGAATAAGGCAGCCTGGTAATTGATAGATTGCAAAGTACGTCATCCAAATTTAAAAGCTACATGTATCTTTGTTTTTGAACAAACAGACAATTCTCCTACACTAAAAGAAAGACAAACTATACCAAAAGGACATTAAAACTCATAAATCGAAAATAAACTGACAAATCCAAGGCAAAAAAAGAAAAGTACCAAATGACAAACAACAGTACACAAAACACAAAAAAACCGACAACTAAAGACTGAGCAACACGAAACCCACCAAAAATATGTGCTATTGACGGGTAAGCAGATCCTGCTCCACATGTGACACTCATCGTTTTAACAATACTAATTATACAGTAATAAACAAACTCAATTTTGATAAGAGAGCCAACTTTTGAATGTGAAGACAGTCTGGTTTTGTGTACTTTATACATACCAATCCCTCTGCATCGTATCCTTCTTTCTTTATTTATTTATGAATCAACTAATGATAATTTTGTTTCACCTTTAATCTACATCTCTATTATATATTTATTAGCAACTATTTCGGAATTTATTATTATCGAAAATAATGTCTAGGAAGTCATTTCAATCTTTGTCAATAGACATGATATCGAACAATCAATGGTGGAAACATTAAAATTAATATCCCCTGTCGTCTTATATAAACTCTAACGTATCGTAAAATTCCTCTGGTATTTGCTTGCCAGAGACTACCGATATATTTTGACCAATAATGTCAACAGTATTTAAACACGACTTGCAAATCAGGAACATATAAAAGCGAGGGATTATTGAACATTTAAAATCAAATACACTGATGAAAAGGTAATCTCGGAAAAACTACTGAATAGGAATCTTGTAGGGAGATTTATGCTAAGTATCTTCCGAAATATTCCAATTTGTTTTCCATCAATCTATTTATAGTTTAACATCCTGATTTAATGATATATAAATTAATGTATTTTACTACATTTCATTACTTTAAGTTTCCTAATTATTAACTTGACCAAAAACATAAGCACACCACACGATGAATTACTTTGATGTAAGTAGAATTGTAGTCATGTTTAATTCTGTACTTAGAAAATCAATGGGTAAGAGATCATTTCCTGCAATTACACTCTCTGAGGGTGTTGATGGGGTTAACAGAATAGACAATAATGACCCAAAAAAAAAAAAAATAATGAATAGACAAAAAATAAAAAATAAAATTAAAGAATCGAGAATCATTGGGTGCAAAATAGCATGAGTATTAGGAAATAACTTGGAAAATAAAAGAATAAGTTAATATAATACTGATTACAGAAATGAAGGAGGTACAGAATAAAGAAATCATATGATACAGATAGATTTCATAGTAAAGTAATTTTTATGACAAACAGAATAAGCGTTATTTTTAAAGATAAAGACATATGCTCCAAAAATCTAAGGAATATAGAAATGAAGGTACCCCGCCCCCACATCCGGACCCTCCTATCTACTTACATGTGGTAGTATGTTATTATTATCCGTTTTTAGTTGGTCTTTCATGGCCATTACTGTTTAAATAATTGTTAACATAATACTTGTTATACAGTGTGACAAAACATTCAGGACGAACTCGGTCATAAACTCTCGTCATGAATAACAACAAAGTTGTCCACACATATTAAAAATAAAGTCCGTTGGTGAACTCAAGTACAATTCTCTGAAGGGGTTGACTTAAAAATAACTTTGGATGAACTTATTCTGCTACTAAATATAAGAATGAAATTGTTGACTTCAAAATATATTGATGTGCTGCTGGTTCTCTTAGAAAAATTAATCTCTGTATTTAACTTCGAGATTTCAATCATAATATAATGACATTGAAAGCACCTTGCTATGATAGTGTGCCGTATGAATATTTTTTAAGCATGTATGACTCAACACGGATAGTTGAAATATGAATGTGTACAATTTTGCGAGAGGGGATATCCTTTTGCTGAAACACACGAAATCAAAACCGACTTTTTAGCTCTCCCGGCTCAAAGGGTAATGTGACTATTTACCATTCTTTGACGTCCATCGTCGTAAATTTAATCAAGGATCTTCTTCTTTGAAATTAGCTGATTAATTTCAACCAAATTGATGCCTAATAATACTTTGGATATCTACTGTTATATAGTGATTATTTGTGTATTCCTGTCAGTCAACGAACACGACCGCCATAGCTAAAACTTGAACATATGGGTTAAATGCAAAAAGGCAATAATTTTCTTATATCATGAAAACCATTATAAAATCATTGGATGACTTCTTTTAAGAGTATATGTCATAATGAGGTTTTTGACTTCTTTTTGCCTTTTGTTTGTCTATTTTGTCGAAAACATAGGAACAAACTGTTAACAGCAAAACTAATCAGCAATACAAGATTAACAATAATGCAAAACCCAAAACCATTTGATGACAAATTAAGGAGTTATTGCCCTTATATGACGACAAGTCTTTGTGTTTTTGCAAATTATCTCGATAACTGTATGAGATAGGTAGAAACAGTAAACAGCAAACAATGAAAAGATGATCTACAAAAAGGCTTAATATGACCGAAACCAGTTGAAGACTGCTTATATTAGTTATTGACCTTAACTTACGATTTAAAACTTGCTTCTATAATTTTGCCTATATCTCCTAAATTGTAAAAAATAGGATGAAACTGAAGACTTCCAAAGAGAGCGACTAGGAAGTTAGCAGTATCCTTTAACTTCACTTTCCGCTATAAAGATGATTTTCTCTAACTAAATAATTCAAAATTTGGTGACTATGTTGAATGCATCTATCCCATCGAACTTGAGATAAAGGATACAACCAATACAGTTAAGTCTGCCTCATATCTTGACTTACATCTAGAAATTGACAAGAGATTGGTTGAAAACAAAACTTTACCAGAAAAATGATGAGTTTAGCTTCCCAATTGTGAATGTTTGCATTTCTATGTAGCAACATTCCTGCAGCGCCTTCATACGGAGTATATATCTCCCAGTTTATTCGATATTTCTGGGCTTGTATTTCCATTCATAATTTCCTTGATAGAGGGTTGCTGCTTACAAGGAAGCTATTGAACCGAGAGTTCCAAGTGTTGAAGCTGAAAGCATCCCTTCGTAAATTTTACGGACGTCTTTACGAATTGGTGGACCGTTATGGAATGACGGATGTGTTCCAAATGTCGTAACCACAATCCCGTCCCCTTTTCACCGAATGTGACCTACCGAATTAGACTGATCTTCGGGTGTGTATTTACATGAGCAACACGACGAGTGCCATATGTGGATCAGCATCTACTTACCCTTCCAGAGCTTCTGACATCATCCCCAGTTTTTGGTGGGGTTTGTGTTGCTCTTTCTTTTTTTTCTTTCTATGTTGTGTTTTACGTTATGTTGTTTGTCTGTTTGTCTTTTTGTTTTTACCCATGGCGTTGTCAGTTTATTTTCTACTCATGAGTTTGAATGTCCTTTTAGTATCTTTTGACTTTTTTTCAAGATCTACAAAAAAATGCCATAAACCAAACAATTGGATGAGGAGTTTTTACTCTAAAATCCTTTTATATGCTGTATTTTGTGTTGATTGCTGTCTCTCATGTCGATGCCAAGTGTTGACATCCCCGTCTTTATATCTCATTGGCATTCATACCACATCATCTTTTTTTTATATATAAAAGTAAGAAAACAAGACATTTAATCAAACTAATATCTCAGTAAGGTCTCAAATTAATTAGTTACCACCATCTCAATGAAAGTGCAATTCACATATCTTAATTTCTGTTTTATTTTCTAGGTTTTCTGTTATATATCAGTAATAGTTTCGACATATTTCAACAAAGTACAGAGCTGTAATTGCACAGAGCCACCACAGAAGGATCTCGAAAACAGATTTAAATCTATAAATAATAATATAAACATGAAATCTTTATTCATGTATGAAGGCTGGGATAATTCTACTATTAACAACAAATTTGAGGAACTTTTACGCCAATCAACAGAATACCGGAATAGTGATACATGCCCTAAGAGACATATGAAATCACCAGAGAGTTTGAGTCTACGAACTTCATGTCCATGGTTTCCACACATGGAGACAATGGAGAACAGATATCCAAAGAATATATATGTAGCTAAAACCCACTGTAAATCATGTATAACAACAGATAGTCTTCAAAATACATATTGCAAATCGCTGGAACGTACTCTTACAATTCTAGTAAGAAGCAATGATATTGTTAATGGTATCTGTCAATATAAAGAAGCCAAATATAATGTACCGGTAGCTTTTGTTTGTACAAGAATATTAGAGAAGGTGAATGATCATGAACTCACTTCTATTCCATTAGGCTTTTTCGGAAAAACCTTATGGAGGCAAAGAGCAATAAAAGATCGTGAAACGACAACAATTCCACCAATAAGCGTCACACAAAATCAAATAGTTGGATGAAAACATAATACATATTGATTCAGAATCAGCCGGATATGTTATCCTCCTTCATAAATGTTTACTTGTCCTATCAGTTTTTTCGTATGATATAGGGCATGCGCATTTAACAAAGTGCATATCAGTTACTGTAAACCAACTTATTTTCGCTGATATTTTATTTTGCGTTAAGACATTTCTTTCCCTTTTCGCGGCGATTTAATTTCGCGATTTTTTAATTTACTTGAAGTATTTGAATAAGAAACGATCTAATTTAACATATTCGCGACAATTTGTATTCGCGTTATTTTTCTTTTCGCAAAAGTCGCGAAATAAAATATCCGCGAAAATAAGTTGGTTTAGAGTATTTATCTTCTGTATTTCTAATGAACTATGTGTTACGGAATAAAGTTATTTACAATGTTGTTTACCAATTAATTTTTTTCACTATAATATCATATATCACGTTCATACAAGCTATGAGTCAACACTTCAAAAGTAGGAGCATAGTTCAGGAGTGGTCTGCACTTTGAACACTTCGTATATTGATTCAACCGAATACTTACCATTTGTAAAAATAACAGTATATTTGACATACTTTAATCGTCTTGTTTAATCGATATACTTTTTATCAAGTTGTTCAAGAAACATTAAAAATTAGCCCGGAAATCCGTTGGTACAATTAAATAATTTGTATTACTCAGTCATTAGTTGTCTTTGAAGTTTTTAGTGTTCGCTTTCGTTGTCAGTTTTACTTCGACTTATGAGTTTTAAACACACCTCAATATCTTTCGCCTTTCTTGTTCAGTCGATTTTTTGAAATTCGTTACAACCTAGAAAGAATCAGGGAATACAACGACAAGATATTAATTATTAGATTGAAAATCAAGAGCAGTGATTTCATAAAACGTTATTTACCAAAAAACATAACTTAAGTATGCAAAATGATTATAAACGTACTGGTCATCATGCGAGGGATTTCTTTCTTCATATAATAAAAGTTGTCTATAAATAATATAAGTAAATTTATCGGGTTTGACTTTGTTATAAGCAGATGTTATGGCTGCTAACCCTTGTCTACTAATATGTTCAATTTGGCCGCCTTCATCATAGTCTTTTTATCGTCGTCATAGACATCCGTATCATAGTCATTTTGATATGCCTTATCAGCATGTTTCCGTCGAGCAGTGGGCTTGAATGTAACCTTTATTTTCTGTAAAAATATAGTAAATTTTCATTTAAAACCTATAATGATCCTAACTTTGAGACACTTTTTAATGTTAAAAATCAAAAGAAGTATTACAAAAATACAAACTCAAAGGCAAATTAATGTAAAAATGAGGTAGTCAATAAAACCGGACAACATCAAACCTCGACTATGTCAAAGAATGGAATGAATGGAAAAAACTGTAATATTTCTAACTTGGTACAGGCATTTTCTGAAGGAAATGATGCATTAAATCTGATTTTATAGCTAGTCAAACCTCCAACTTCTACGTTTATATTTCCGTTTTATTGACAAAATTTGGTGCGCAACCCAAACAGACATAATTGGTTAAAATGGTTTAAATTAGGACCCAGCCTACAAAACTGTGTAAACATACACCAAAGACATACAAATACTAATAGTACACGACTTGAATTTTTTAACAAACATACAAACATTGCTGACTTCAACGTCATTTGGTCTCTGGGGACGAGTTATCTCATTGGCAACAATATCAAATCTTGTTGTTTTTATACAAATTAAACTTACAAATGTTTTGTTGTTGATAGCACATGCATAATTGTACAACATAGTTTCATGCGTCCAAATCATACATTGGAACCAACTGCCCCCGCATATGGAACGCCCAAAGCTAAAAATCCGATAGCTGGATGCGCAAATACCGATTCACGTCAACAGCCATACGACCAAAAGGAACACACACAAAAAAACAAAGACAAATAAAAGGAAAACTGTAAATAAATAAAATGATACACAACGTCAGACCTAACATCCAAATCTTGAGACCATCGTGTTTTATTTGTGAAGTAGACATGGATAAGTAAAATAACAGAAATGCGCATCTATTAGGTCTTGGTACTTTGCGATATAAACTTTTTCAGAAACAGTACAAAACGTTATGTGATCATGTTTTATAAAGTCTGATTAGCAGCTGCAACATCTTGAATTTTGATGAGAAATGTGTACACCGTACGCAAGTTAAGTTCGAATATTGCTGCTAAGCTTAGGCACAATTATTGGAATCGTCTCGTTTATCATAGATTTTAATACTGAGATCATCGCTGTAGTCAAACTCGAGGTATATGTCTTACAATGAGGCAGAGGAAGCTATATTTGAGGTGTCTAAAATACTTTTAACCTAAAACAAGTATTTCGATCTGAAAACTAATGTATATAAATGTTATAATTAGAAAGGAAAAAGTAAAATAAAAAAAAGCATAAAAAATACAGAACTCCAAGGAAAATTCAATACAGAAAGTCCTTTATCAAACGGCAAAATCAAAAGCCCAAACACACCAAAAGAATGGAAAACAACTGTCATATTCCTGAATTTGTACAGAGATTTCCTTATGTAAAAAATGGTGAATTAAACCTGGTTTTATAGCTAGCTAAACCTCTCACTTGGATGACAGTAGCATAGAATTCAATTGTATTGTTACAATGTGTGAGTAAAACAAACAGACATAATAAGTGAAAATGTCAAATATTGGGGTACAGCAGTCAACATTGTGTTATAATCTTGATCACTACAAAAACAAATAACTATTTCAGCAAAGAAAAACAAAACGTCATGTATACACTCTATAGACAAAGTACATAAGAAAAATGAAAGACAAGAATACAAAAAATGACCGTAACACAATAACACAATGGCGGGATGTACAAAAACCGACAGCCACTGGTGACGTTTTGTAAAGTCTGAGTAGCAGCTGCAAGCTCCTGAATACCGAATGAGTTGGGTAATTTTTTTCTGTCAAAGTACCGTCGTCTTGTTTAGTTCTTTGTATTTTCTGCGTGTTTTGCATTTAGCAATACACGTACCTCGTAAATATTTACTCCAGGTTAATCCTTTTATTCGAAAAACTGTCCATACAGGAATTGGTAATGTAGGCAATATTTCAATCAAATTTTCGAAATCGATTGCAACTCCTGGGTATTTGTAAGATCCATACGTTATCGGCATGTACTTAAATAGATTGATTATAAAAAGTCCCTTAAATAGTAAAATGTTGATTTAACTAAATATGTTATTAGTTTTGAAATTGATTTGTTATTTAATAACTAATAAAAGCATCAGGTACATCTTCCCATATTTCTCATTCACTCCTTCTTTTATTACCTTTTCACTCCAACGGATTTTGCTAACCGTCTATGTATCCGTTGGGGGTCAGTGGTGAATCGTATAACGAATTGATCGTACATGGGGCTTTTCATGCCAAGTTTTGTATAAAGATAAACAATGAAATACAATAACATTACTAGATGAAGTCACCATTAATAGTAGACATGACGTCATGAACCCCATATAAAATCTACTGACCTCAATGTGAGATCACCACGTGACGGTGTTAAACCAATCATAACTTTACTAATTTTTCCGGGTGCGATAAGTTTTCTAGAAATTCTTTTCCGAAAGATATAGAAATATATTTCGAAATCAAGCAGTTGAATTTGTCTCCTCTCTCAAACATTTAGGAAGTATCTTAACATGTTGAATTTTGATTTTAGGTGTAACATATTAAATATGAATTTATAATTTCATGCGTCCGAGGCGCTTTTCTGGATGTACATTCAGCTGGAACGCTAAAATCCGAATATGTAAAAAGCAAGAATGTATTAGAACCGAAACTGTCGACGAGCTATAAGGTCAACTTTGTCTGAGGTGGTTGAACATTTTCTTAATAATTTCCAATTTTATATATGGACAATTAAAGAAAGGTTTGTTATCAATCATGTAAGAACCAAACGTCTGACAATGAAATGACGATACCTTCGGAAACAAATAGTCCACCAGAAAATGTTTAACATACGTAGAAAACATATCGCTTTGTGGCAAGATTATATGTCCTTATAAAAATGTCATTTGTATCAAATAGAAGATATATTGATCGTAAATACGTAACATTTATTAGACAAATAATGCAATTTGCAGTTATATGACGCTCGTACTCAACCTTTGGTGGTTATTTAGAAGAAATTCAGCTGGAAAAAGATGGAATAGACGCTGTATTAACTGTGCTTATTACACAAAAAACTCACTAGTGATATGTTTTCTGTTATTTTACTAATTGTGTTCAATTCCCGATCGTTTAATTTTGACGTAAAGTGAATTTGCATGGCGGTTATTCATGTATAGCATTAGACGCGTAACCTATAGACACACCAGTATTACTCCCTAACCGTCAGTTATGTTTGTCACCAGAATGTGTCTTCTTAATCAATTTATGAGATTTGATCATCGGTAAACTCCTGTTGCCTTAATCTAACCATTATGATAATCGTTAATGTTTTATTTCGAAATAGATTTACAGTTAGTAGCAACAGAATAATATTAATTGTTCTGAATCATACATAATGAGGCTGCCCTTAAAAAATAACGTTTCCCTTCCTACGTTGTAAAATGAACAATATAATCCACGACATACGGATTTCTCTGAATATAAGTATATTCATGCTTTTAATATTGGTTACCTCCCGTGTACCAGAAAAAAATCTTAATCAGAAAAAATAAATAAAATATTAAACAAGTTTAAACGCCAATAGAAACGTTTATAACGTGACTTATATTTATTTAAAATGCCTCATTATTGACCTAGTACTTGAAGGAAAAGAACAAAAATGCATGAATATTTTTCTCACATACAGACACAATGTGTGCTAGAGTATATATTATTAGAATACAATATTTATAAGTACAAAGTCATACTACACGAGTTTTTGGTGATTATAATGTAAACGAAATTGATTAACCAATGCATCTATATATAATAAACGAAGAGCTTTCTACAATATTCATTACGAATATGTAACGTATAATCGACAAAATCTATTTCACTCGGTGATTGCGATCGAAAGCTATAGTTACTTAACTTTCGTGTTTTGGTGACGAAGTTTACATATCGTGACCTTGATAAACAATCAACACAGAATCATGGAGCATGATAAGTGATCAGATGATAGAGCGATGTTTTATTATTTTTC